AAATATATTTTTTTAAATTAATTTTATATTATTTTCTAGTTATTCATATAATATATATATATATATATATTAATTTTTATTATATTTATAGACCTTTTAAATTTGAATATTAATTGTTATTCACATAGGTGAATATCATATTACAAATATCATATATTGAATTAATAAAAATTAATTCAAAATTTTGTTATAAAACTAAAAATAATAATTATTTTAAAAGAATCAAATTGTCTAAAATATAAAAGATCAAAATAAAATTTTAAAAATAAAATAAACCCTAAACCCTTAAAAAAGTAAAACAAAAAAGTGTACGGAAGATTAAAAGTAATTAGAACTAAAGTTAATTTCAACATACACAAAGATAAGGTCTTTATTAGCAAATCATTGTTGCCCCTTTAACTTGTTATATGTAATTTAGGGAATTTACTATCTTGTTTTCCAATGCTTCAAACGAGCTCTTTGTAAATGTGAAGCCCTTTGTATTCGCACTCATCCCTTATTTGCAAAAAAAGGGTATTCTTCCAAATGATTTCCCACCTCAATCAAAACCACCCCTTTCATTTCTACCCTGGTACATATGTAAAATCGCTGACACCACAAAACCCATTTTCCGTTTTTCTCAAAGTTCCAAGCTTTACCGGTTCTACGGCTACCCATTATCTTAAAGTCTCATGGGTGCATTCTGTTAACTCACACTTTTCTGTGAAACGGGTATCTCGGCATGTAAAGGGGAAGGTGCAGGATGTGCTGTTAGATTACTTGCATTCAAGCAGGGGATACAGCTTCATGGATGCTGAATTCATTAGCCAAAACTCGCCATCTTTTGTTCACGGTTTGGTGTCCGAGTTTCATGGCCAGGATGAAGATGTTGCAAGGTGTTTGACGAAATTCCTGAGGTACAACCCCATTAATGAGTTTGAACCATTTTTTGAGAGTTTGGGGATTAGCCCTCATGAGTTGCCTTTGTTTCTCCCACGTGGCATGATGTATTTGTCTGATGATCATGTTTTGCTTGACAATTTCCATGCTTTGAGTAACTATGGGGTTCCAAGAAATAGAATAGGGAAAATTTACCAGCAGGCAAAGGAGGTTTTTGGGTATCCTAGTGGATTGTTGTTGTCGAAATTTCGAGGTTATGAGAATTTGGGTTTGAGTAGGTCCATGGTCATCAAACTAGTTGTTTGTTGCCCTTCACTTTTGGTTGGTGAAACATGCAGTGAATTGGTTATGGTTTTGGATTGGTTGAAGAAAATTGGTATTGAACATGATTGGATTGGGAATTATTTGTCTTGTTTGAAAACGTACGAGTCAAGAAGAATGCTTGATGCTATGGAATTTCTTCATAAAGTGGGCTATTCTGAAGAACAGATGCACAATTTGTTCAAGGAAAACCCTGCATTATTATTGGAAGGTCTTGAGAAGGTGTATGTATTTTTGGGTCGAGCATTTAAGTTAGGTCTCAATAAGAATGTGATTTATTCTTCCTTTATAGAATATCCTCATATCTTGTCAAATAAGTGTGTGAAAAATCTATTGGGAGTGATTGGCTTTTTGTATTCTATTGGAATGGATACAGATGGCATTTCAAACATTTTGTCTAACCACATGCAACTCTTGAGCGCACATCCCTTGAAAGGTCCTAAATCTGTTTGTTTGCAGTTAAAAATTAGAAAAACTGATCTATGTCAAATCATAAAGGATGATCCACTAAAGCTAATTAGTTTGGCTTCAAAACTGAAACAGAATAGTACTGTACAATTATCTTGCGATGAGCCAAGTAAACATCTGGATAAAACAACATTCTTGCTGAAGTTAGGATATGCTGAGAACTCTGAGGAGATGGCAAAAGCAGTAAAAAAGTTCCGAGGGAGAGGTGATCAATTACAGGAGAGGTTTGATTGTCTGGTTGAAGCTGGTTTGGACTATAACATTGCAATCAAAATGATACAACGTGCTCCTATGATTCTAAACCAGAACAAAGTTGTGATTCAAAAGAAGATTGATTTCTTGAGAAACATTTTAGGTTATCCATTAGATTGCATTGTGTCATTTCCAGCATACTTGTGCTATGATTTGGAGAGAATTATGCTCAGATTTTCAATGTATGCCTGGGTGGCGGAAAGGAAAGCATCAAAACCTATGATGACCTTGAGCACTATCCTTGCATGTTCTAATGAAAAGTTTGTAAAATACGTTGTGAATGTGCATCCCGAAGGTCCAATCATCTGGGAAGATCTAAGGCGGTTATTGCAAAAAGATAAGAGCAAACTCTTCCTTTAAGTTTTGTTTAAGATGCCTATTTATCTTAATATATGCCTTGCTAATTCATTTTACCCAAAATACCTTGTTTTTTTTAGATAGGAAATATCTTTGCAAATGAATAGGCTTTCTTTCTTTTATGCACAATAAAAATTCTATTTAATTGTTGATTCATCTTACCCACGTGTGTATGCTCAATTTTCCTTCTATATTATGAATCAATTTTAACTATTTCATTTTGTTTTGGACAATTAATGACCATTTAACAAATCCCATTGAAGAGGGAAACCATTTATACTAGATGTTTGATAAATCTAGTCAGAAAACAGAAACTGTTTTTTTAAGTGGTGTTTGGTACAAAGAATGTTTTAACATTGCTGGAAATGTGGCTAAGGAATAAAAGTTTTCTGTGTTTAGTAATATAGAATGAGAATATTTCCCTGGAATAAAAAATTCATTGGAATGCTAATATATGAAATTATGAATAAGTGAATATAAAAATTTCCCATCTTCATCGGTGAGAATAAAACTTTCCTGTGGCAATTGAATGCAAAGTTACTAAAATTTTTCATGGTAATTGATAGTAAATATATTATTCCTGGCAAAGTTAAATAATTACCAAACACATTCCATAACTTTTTTTTTTTTTCTAGGAATAGGATTTCTGGGAGCGAAAATTTCCAGGAAAATAGTTTAGTTGGTAATAAAAAAGTTCTTGTACGAAATGTTATCAATTAAAAGTACCTATCCGTAACCAGATTCTCACTACTGGATAACGTATTAGTAATTTAGTGCTGAACAGTGGAAAGCAAACTTCATATATATGATGAAATCAACAACCAGAAGAAGAAACAAACACATGGAATATTGAAAAGGACATGCTTAATATCTCTAGTGGGAGAATATTTTAGTACTGAAAATGTTGATAGAAAATTGCAACTTTTTATTTATATGTGGATCTATGGATATTCACAATCACAGTTGAGTTTACTGACTGAATCTTTTAATCACCAAACTCTGTTTCTGCTCTATATACAATATACATGACATGATTTCTTTATACAAAAACATTTCCTTTTATCTACAGTGAGAGATGCACAGCAAGTTAGCCAGCAACTCTAACTTGCCAGGGGGCAGAACCAAGCCATTTTTCTTGATCACTTTTTTCATACCGTTCTCTTCATTTATCTTCTTCTGCCACCTTTCCATTTGTCTAGTTCTGCTTGGAGCCGCCATTTTCCTATTTTTTCTTCTGTTTTCTTTTTCCCCTGCTTGTTTTTTTGTTGTTTCTGAACTCTAATCAAAGTATATCTTACGAGTGTTACGAGCCATCAATGCTTTTACTACGTATAGTATATGCTGCCTAAAATTTACCAAATTGAATTGACTTATTCTCTAAGATTTTTGCTTAGATTCCTAGTAACTTAACACAATAATTTGCTTTTGTACCATTTTATATTCCGTTTTTCACTTTTGTCTTTGTTCTGTGTTAAAACTTTTTTATTTTTATTTTTATATTTTTTTTATCATGTAGATGGTTTACTTATTCTCTTTATTGTCGTTTTAATTGATTTGCCTGTTTTATCTAGCGTGCTTTCACTGCTTTGCGTTCAGCCTTAATTTATGCCAATTTGTATATGAATCATTACAATGAGGTAGGCATTTGGCTTTGCAGGTTTGCCCATACCAAGGAAAAACAGGAAATTCTCTCGTTCGGGATTTGACATTTCTAAACCTTGGATTAAGATTACAAACTATAGACCCAACATAATAGGACATTTATATATATGTGTGAAGAAAACATACACGGAGGACACTGAATCTAGCAAGGTAAAGTGTCTGAAAAGTATAAATACTATATCAATCAAAACAAAACGACTTATTTCTAATTATCAGCACACCATATGTGCTGTATTAACATTTTTATATATATACACATCGACATGCCGTCATTCATAAAAAGGCCAAATGGCACTTTATGGCGAATGTTCAAACATGAAGAGATTCCAGTACATAAATAAAATTCTAGAACTAGTTATTTATTGTAAAAATGGATATAAAACACGCAGCACCACGTACTTAGCAACGATACTATTTGTCTTCTCAGTTGGATGGAAAGAGTCCCAAAACACATATTTGGTAGCATCTGTGCAACTGAACATTTGCCCCCTGCTGCATGCATAACCCATCTCGTACATTCCAGTAGCGCAACACGCCACTGAGGTCGATTCAAATCCTGTACAGAAAAAAAAAATGAATGAGTTAATGCAGATCATAATTAATTTATATAAAATATTGTAATAGAAGAATATATCATAAGCTTAATAGACTTGAACTTAGAGTAAAAGTTTTACTCAATTAACTCATCAGAAATCATTTGATATAAATTTTAGGATAATTACTTTAAAAAGTTAACAAACTTATATGAAAATATAAATTGGTTTTGTTTGGGAAGAGGATGAAAAAAGTGAAGTTTTTATTTTTCATAATAAATAAAATGGGAGAGCCCTTTGTGAAAATGAAAATGCAAGTTGTAAAACTGAAGCATGAGAAAGTAAGTTATGTACTAACAGTATAAAACAGATAAAATATGTACATAATCATTTTGTCTTGCCAATTCATATGATTTTTTTTTTTCTCTGGAATAAGTTGAACCAAATCACTTGTCTTTATTTTACGTTTCCATCCGTATTCTTCCAATTAAAAAGTGATGAAGAACAGAAAAGGGAGAAAGAGGCAATAATATCTTAAACATATATGCATACATGGTTTGTGTAACATACCATAAAGTTCAGGTCTCCTTATGATATTCAACATAATGTAATACGGATTTGAAAACACCAATTTGATTCCAGGGAGCTCATGGTTGAGCTTGATGGTCAAATTCTTAAGCCTATCATTGAACTCCAATGCTATGTTATTGAATCTGGCAACACAGTCATTCCCACCAGCAATATTTGTGGTTCTTTCTAAGGGCAAGCATCCCATAGGAGGTAACCCGCCTAGGGATATCTTTCTAGCACCAAGAGCATAGAGGCTCCTTATGAAATTCTCAGCAATCCCAGCAAGGAAAATTTGGTACTGTTGGGGTGTGAACTGAGATGCTCTACCAGGCATGGTGTAGTAGTTCTCTAGGAAATCATTTGTTCCTAGGCTCATTAGATATAGTGCATCTGCTATGATCTCCTTTGCTTTGCTTTCACCAAGATAGGCACTCAGATTCTTCTGGTATCCCTTGTAGTACTCTAATTGTTTCCATAGTGGTATCACAGACTGCAACCAATGTTATCATTTGCATAATTATATGTTGGATAATGGACTCACAAGTTTATTTCTAAAATTTCATATTTTCCCAAAAGAAAATTCAAAATTATGAAAAAATTATAATTAAAAGAAGGCAATTATTTTTATTTTTACTTTTGCATTTGTTTGACAAAAGGGAGAAGAGAAACAGAGGAGAGGCAAAGAGGAAGTAGCTGTGAGGAACAGTGGAAAAGGTTGGTATAAATAAGTGTATTATGTAATCTAACCACGTGCACAATCTTGTATACCAAATTTGAATATATTTTTTTGGAAGTGACATTTTTTTAGATTAATTTTGTTTAAAAAATATTTTTTTTATCACAATTCATTCTCAGATTTAAACATTTTACATGAATTATACACATCTTTCTATTTGTTAATCTATATTATTTATTTGAGACTTTTCTAGGCTAATTATGCATATTTTAATCAAAATTGAAAACGTATAATTTTTCCTAATCAATAATTATAATTATATTTTATCATTTAAAATATACCTTCTTACGATAAAAGAGTGACAGAAAATATAATTAATAAAATTAATTTCAAATCTTAAAAGAGAGGTGTCTCATAAACATGTGATTTGTCTAGAAGAGAAGAAAGACAACACAGAGGAAGAAAAATTACAAAACAATGTTTTTTATTTACTTTTTTGGTTTGATCTAAGAAAAAATAGAAATAAAAGAAAATTATTTATTTTAAATTTTCAATTCAAAATTTTATCTTGCTCTTTGTTACCTTTCCACCAAAACAAACAAGGAATTATATTTGTATTTAGTATAGTTTGAATTAGTTCCACATACGTGGCTACCTTTTACTCATTTTCCAACAGAAAACAAACAAAAACATTGGCTCTGAAAACGAGATCTATAACAACACTAGAGATCATGCAGGGAAATCCATGAAGAATTACCAGCACAGCTGAAGTTGCATTATCATAGCCAGTTGCAGCCGAAGCAAAAGTGACTCCACTAGCAAAATCTGAAATATTATACTTGGGATCCAAGTACGGTGGCACATAAGGTTTGAGACCAAAAGCCTCAGAAATAAAATCCGTTGGTATTCTCCCATTGCAAAACCTCCCAGTTGCTTTTCCACCTTCAAAGTCACGTCCATATGGCCTAAAATTGCTCCGAGCTATGGTGGGAATGAAGTTGTTGTTGCCGGCGTCCACGGAGGAGTCGCCAAAGACGATCACCGCCGGAACCTTGGCCGTGCTCTCCGCCACTAGGGAGAGGAAATGAAGCACAAAGTGGGAGCATAGTATTAGTCTCATTATTTTTCCATGCCCTTCCATTGTGTAGTTTCAAGTGTGCTAGGGAAGTGAACTTGTGACAAAATAAATATTAGTTACAACTATTAATGGAACTTTGATCTTTAGGTGTTTGGGTGAAGAAGTTGTTGGAAACCATAATTGCTAAGACAAGACCACACTCCAATGGATGGGATTCATTTCTTTTGCTGTGGTTTTGACTCCTTCTTTAAAATGTTTTTTTCTCGCTTTATTTTTATTTACTTTTCTCCCATTTCGAGAGTTTCAATTTGTTTGCTTGCATTCTTTCATTTTTTGTAATCGTTAATAAAAATATATGAAAAAAAAAGAACCTAATTAAATAGCAACCAACCAATCACATCCGAAGTATGACGCGTGTCATGTGAATGTGACCGAGAGTAGCGGGCTTGTGACATGAATTTCTCTATAATAAATCTTATGATACGAGATTTTTACGTGATAATTCATGTGAGTACGTAGAAAAATGTATATTGAATAAGATCTTGGAAATTTCTACCAGACCCTACGTATTAAATCTATTTATATTTCTCCCATCACACCTTATACAAGACTAACGTAAAGTGGTCAATTCACACCAAAAAGTCTTGAAACCGTGAGATGGATCGAATAACAAGTATACCAGCCTGCACGAGGACGACCACCACGTACAAATTTTACAAAGAGTTCAATACACTATACACATCACAATATGTTGATAGAGCTAAAATAGTAGGATATATTCCTTATCTAACGAGTCACAAGCAAATTATATTAGTATATTTGACACTATATACATCAAAAGTTAAATGAGTTTTTCCCTCTAATATATAATATATTTAACTTGTTTTTACTCACACTTATTACTTTAATAAATTTTCTTTAAGTTTTGAGTCTCTTCGGAAATCTTTTAAGAGAAAAAAGTCTTATTGCAATATATGAGTACGTATTAGATGTTTACACTATTTTTTACTTAGGTTGTTAGTTACTTCTTCGGTTCAACACAAATATTTAAATTATAATAATTAATGAACATAGTTAAAACTATATATTTAGCTAAAAATATAATATATTTTTTATTTTTTATTTTTAAGCTCTTTATTATTTATTAATTTTATATATTGTTAAATTAAAATATACTGTAATTAATAACTTAGCATACAACTTATTTAAAAATATATAAATGAATTAAAAAATTAAAAATAAGATAGCTAGATTCTTTGTTATCGAATCCAGTAAAACCTGATGAGATTGAAGTTGGAGCTTAGTCTTTTTTTTTTTTCATCTCTTTTAGGTCAGGACTCAAAACAGCTTCCCTTTTGTGGAAACAAGGATGAAAAAGTCAAATTTGTCTCAACTTACTTCGTTGCCATGTTTAAGTGAGATACTAATTAATAAATGAGTGTATTCTTAGAAGAAAAAAAACAACTTTATTATTATTATTTTAAAACAAAGTAAAACACTTATATGATAGTATATGAGTTAACGGGAAGTAAACTTACTGAATTTTATCGCTATTGCCAACCTTAGTTAATATATGTGTCAGTGTAATGTTATATCTTCTTATAACATGAAATATGAAGAAAAAAAAATGTAATCTATTAAAATATACTATATATTTTTGAGTAACCATTTTATTGCATGGTACAAAGTCGTATCTTTTTAATTTTTTATGATATAGAGAATTTGGTTGAGTCTTTCCTTCTCAACTACTCTTTTTTATATATAAAAGATTATAATTTGTTGATAAAATAATAAAATATATGTAATATTTGTGATATGAAAACAAAAAGGAGGAGTAATAATAAAAGGATGGTGCAGAGAGGCAACAGAAGCATAATTCAGAATTATTCGAATACATGGAAGAAAAAAAGTTAGAAATATGATAGCGAGAGTCCATAGCAGTAACATTATGAATCATGTGTTTGACTTATTCCAGCAGGCACGAGCGAAAGAGATAGAAAGTCTCTTAAGAGAGAGGCGACAGCAGCATTAATTAGCCATTGAAGCAGTTGCAACTGCACTGCTCTTAAATTCAATAATCCTAACTCAACAAGAAAGGAGGTGACACCATTTATGCATTGCTAAACTCAATAAATGACACCATATTCTCTCTTTCACAAAACAAACGGTAACCTCAAGCACCCAACGAATATGTTGCAGCCTAGCTAGCTACCACCATACTTCATAAATTACGTGCATGTACAAACACTTGCATATATACCGTTTCCTTCAATCACACACTCTTTTTTCGGTACACAATACATTAAAAAACAGAAACTTATACTAAAGACATCCATCGTCTCAACTTTTATATTGCTTCCACATTATATATATCGTACTCTTAGGGTTTAATTAGGTGTCTCGTCATTTAAGAAGCATTGCAGACCAAAAACCATAGTATGTTAAATTATATACTATTTTTTTTTTTATAGAAAGATATTAGGTTTGGTGACACTTTTGATTTCTTTATTATTCTCATTCCATTAATTTGTCCATTCTTTTTTAGAATTTGGTCTTTTATTATTTCAATCGTGTAACTTTTGCTTATATATATTTACGTTAATTTAACATTTAATAGAAATATTGATGTGATGACTGATGATGCAGCAGTGGAGCGTCAACATAGATGTGCTCAAGGTAGTGTCATAAAATGTTATGTTAGCATTTTTTTTTTAAATAATAAATATCAAGTTAATGGATAAATCAAAATTACATCCTTGAAGTAACGGGGCCGGGAGAACAAATTTACAAAATGTGATGATGAAAGAGGACAAAAAGTTATCGAAATATTATTATATAAAAAAATCTAACAAAGTATAAGATTAAAAAAAAACTTTTAGTGAAAAAGTAATTTATATTTAAAAAATTTAAAATATAAAGGAAAAATATAACTGTATAAGAACATTAATAGTGCTAACAAATGATTTGTATTATTGGTTACTTTAAAAATGAATACTTTTATACCATGTTTTTTAACGTGAAAAAATTATAATATGATCTTTAAAATTTATTATGAATAAAATTCAAAGATTTTTTGTAAATTGAGTGGTCCCAATGATTTAAGAGGGGTGAATTGAATTATAATAAAAGATATTGTATTCCAACAATCCTAAATCACAAGGAATACAATAAAGAATGAAAGGAAGAGAGAAAGTTCAAAACAATTTAAATAAAAAATTTAGATTTTGTTATAAAAAAAATTAGAAAAAATACACTATTACTAACATTAAAATATATATTAGAAAAAATTTACACTCAATTTGATCCTTAAAAGATGGTAGAGGTGACTGATAGGTTCTTGAATTTTTTTTTTAGCATTTAAACTCTTAAATTTTAACTTTGTTCTGCAAGTTAGTTTTTTGGTTATATTCAGTTACTAACTTTATTAGTTTTATGACTAGTCAACGGTTAATTATCATATTGACATGTATTCACTTTCTTAGTTAACATAGAGGACCATTATTACTAAATCATTTCTCATTTTTATTGGACAAGTTTTACAATTCATAAAATATAATAGAAGTACTAATATTTTATTGACGTATTCTTAGTTGAGATCTTTCATAACAATCACTCGTGTTGTTAAACTTCAAATTCAATAATTTATGATTTACAATCATAATCCTACAATAAAACAGTTAAAGAAATTAAGGATGATTAAAAAAAATTCAACTATAGAAAATTCTAAGAAACCCAACAACAATCGTTAATTTTAACCGAAATACCCATATGACCACAATATTTAAAAATAACATAAGATTTATTGTTGATTAGAAAATACTAAAATATTACATTATGATTCATATTACGAGACTTGCTTATCATGAACACTTATTTTGTGAGCAGAGCAGTTCCACTCTCTAATCTCTATGCTCTTATTTAATCCATTCTTCCAACAACTAACTGCTCGATTTCCATCTCACATTTTCAATCAATTAATTTGAGTCAGTAGGTGCATACTCTAACAAGATAGACGGAGTTAGTGCCATTATTAATTGCTTTGGAAATATACGTTCACTACAAACAAACCTATGTGTTACCAAACACACGAGGTTTTATTTGAAAATCGCATAGATGAAGTTACGCTTTGGAGTGACGAGAATGCACTCTTTAATTAATAGTACACGTTTTACTCTTATTAATTATTTAAAATTTATTACCAAAAATTATAAAGTTAAGAAACAATTAAATGAAAAGTGAATCTCATAAAAAACTTGTGCAGTTGTTTTTAATAAGTTTTAGTAATGTGTTAAAAGGTGTGTAATATTTCTCTTTTTTCTAATGTTGAACCTCGTATTCCACAACTGTTTCTGTATTCGGTCAAACTGTTTATGTCGCTACCATTTTGTATTATCTTGTTTGGGCCTAAAACAACGACTGCTATTTGAAACCAGTTTTGGAGTTGGCTGATGATATATACACCTACATTTTTTTTTATACATACACTTCCTTTTTAAAAAAAAAATATTAAATTCTTAAATTATCCTTAATATTGTTTAAAATAAAAAAAATTATCCTGGAAAATTTTTTTCGGAGGTGTATTTGTACATAATTATGGAAAGTTCTTTCCGGAATACTAAAATTACTATTCCAGAAATAACTTTCCGTCGGAATAATTCTGGAAAGTACTTTCCGTAACACTAAAATTACTATTGCGTAAAGTTCTTTCCGGAATTATGGTAACAAATACACACACTATTAATATTCCGGAAAGAATTTTTCGCAATAGTAATTCTAGTGTTACGGAAAGTATTTTTCATAATTATTTTGACGGAAAGTTATTTTCGGAATAGTAATTTTAGTATTCTGGAAAGTACTTTCTGTAATTATTCTGACGGAAAGTTCTTTTCGGAAGGCTCATGATATATACACCTTCTATTTTTTTTATAAGTACACCTTCTTTATTTTTTTAAAAAAATTATAAAATATTATATATATATTTTTTAATTTTATACCTTTAACTTTCAATTTTTTACTTTTTTCTTTTTTTCACACTTTTTTTTCTCTTTCAATTTTTACATGTTACCAAAATAGGTGGAGTGAAGGAAAGATAACGGGGTGCAT